CTCTATATTCTAAATGGTAAGAGCAACATTTACCGGCAGATAACTTTATCAGTTAACAAAGGTAATATAATCAATGTACTTAACACATGCTAAACCTATACAAGCCTTCCTCAAGTTTATTCAAATATATAATTCCCATCTCTTTATTCTAATATTCCAGATCCTTTTCTTTTATCATCCCTCATACAGCCTCATTGCATTATAGTCAAATTGAACTATTCACTGCTTCTTTGTTTTTTTTATCTTTATATCACGGCCATTTTTTTTTTTTTTTTGTATCCTTCATTCTACCTTGGATATCCTCTACCTCCAATCTCCAGACATTGAGATTTTATCCATTCTTCAAAATCTGGATCAAATATCATATTCCTCATTAATGTTCCTCTGATTAAACTGGAAATCATCTTTTATCATTACACACCTATATACATCTATTTTTCCTCCTTTTGATTAAATATGAGAATTTGATAGATACCAGAAGACACTAAATGCCTCATTTTTATTGTTACAGTTGCATGCATGTAATAAAGGCTCAATAAACATCTGTCCTATTGTTATAGAGCAGCCCCGATATTAAACAGGTTCCTGGCTGTGGGTCCTCACCCGCACGCTTTAAAAGGACTTATGAATACTCCACTACAGACACACACAAAAGGTTAATAAAAGGTTTATTTACAAGAGAAAAGGAAATAAAGAAAATGTACAGGGCCTCCCCGGTGGCGCAGCGGTTGAGCGCTGGGTTGCAAAGCTGCCCGCAGCCTCTGCAGCGCCGGTTCAATCCCCAGCCACTGGGTGAGGGTCCCACATGGTGCGCAGACCTCTCCTGCCGCCCGCTGCTCCCCTCAGCAGTGTACTTCGTCAGTCTGCCTGCTCTGTTCCCTGCTCTGGCTCTGGTGAATTCTCTCACCCTCTCCGTGCTTCTGACTGTACCCATGCTTGTATAAATAAATAAATAAATCTTTTAAAAAAAAAAAAAAAAAAAAAAAAAAAAGAAAATGTACAACTCAGGGAGAAAATAGGGAAATAAAGTCTTTAATGCATCCTACCCGATCCGACGACCTGGAAACCCAAAGTCACTCTCAGAGCTGGCAGTACTGCGAGCTGGCGGAGAGCCAAAAATGGGGGATCCTCCAAAGCCCACGTGTCTGCCTTTTATATCCACCTGGCTGCTTAACCCCACCCTCAGGTCCCAGCCACCTTCCCTTTGGTGGTGATGGGATTTGGAGTTCCCAGTGTCTTTGACTTTGACCTAGGGTGGTGGTGGAATCCACAAAGCCTGTATGGAATTAGCTTTGGGACAACCTTTTCCCCCTAACACTATGAATAGAATCAATGTCACCTAAAGGTCCAGTCACACCTCCTTAAGTCTGTGGAGATCTAATAAAATTGTTGTCTTTATTCATTCTTTTGACTTAAGGAACAGAATTTGTTAATGAAGAATTAATTTTGTCAGAACAGCACTAAGTAATAATGAATATTACATAACAAGGGGCCACTTTTATAGAGAGCATGAAAGTTTGGAAACAAAAGGAACTGTGAGAGAAGGCTTTGAAGACTGGAATGTAATGTCTTTGACAGCCATGAGTTACTCAGCACCTAAACGGAAGACTTGAGTGCCCAGCAAAAAAATGAGTTACACTGAAATTTAAGATTTGAAATTTCTGCTTAAGATCATTACCAGACAGAATATAAGGTTTATGAGCTCTGTTTTTAGTGATAAGAGTGACATGACCAGTGAGGTTGCAAGTGCCATCAAACCATGTAAGTGGCCCATATATATGGCATTTGCAGAAAATTTAAACATTCTCCTCCTGATCATAGATACTTTAGAAGTTTCTATTCAGTGAGTACCAGTTTCTTTCCTTTAGTGTGCTAGGGAATAATAGGTAACATTCAGGTTTGGTTACAGATTCCATTTATAGATATTTATTATCCTAGTCCTTTTCCTCTGATGTGTATGGCAAATGCATGTTTTTGTTCATAGGAAGGGCCAGTTGAAAGAGTGTATGTGATTCATTTAAGTCTGCCTCTTCAGTTGGGAAACTGATAATTTTTTTTAGCTACAAGGAAACTTGTCTTAAGTAACTTGTTTCAAGCGTAAAGATGAAGGAATAGAAATTCATAAATAGCATTGCCCCCAAATCACAGGCTGTTTGAATACATCTTATTATTCATATTTTGCCTTGATAGAACATACTAGTTTTAAAAGAATCCAACCTGATTTAGCCAGCTTGAATACAAAATTCATCAGCAGTTACACATCATATATTCTCAAGAGATCTCAGTACCAAGTTGATTACAAACAGCTGCAACATTCAATTGCCATTGAAATGTTATTCAAGGGATGATTAAACACTGTCCATATGTAGATCTTTGTTCTGTATCTCTTGTGCAGCTCATAAGCTGATATTGATGCTCACCTTCAAGCCATGTGTGCTAGTTACCTTAATCATAGCAATCGAAATATTGGGAAGTCATTGGCTAGGTTAAATACCATAAAATTTTTGTTAAAACATATTACAAGGAGAAGAATTTGAATTTAATTCTTAGTGATATCAATTGCTTGTGTGTGTGTGTTTGTGTGTGTGTGAGACAGAAAGTGTGTGCAAATATATAAACATAGTCTTGAGTCCAAAGGGCATTTATTTAAAAAAAAAAAACATAGTTGATAATGTTGAATCTAGCCATGCATACTACATTTGTTAATGTAAGCACCAATGTTCAGCACTTTAAAAAAAATTTAATGAGAATAGTCTTCTCTGTGGAACACAGTCCTTGAAAACAGAAAAATAAAGTAGATGTTCCCTTTTATCTGTGTGCAAGGAGTTACTCCCAGTTTCCTGCAAAGTCTCAAAAAAGTGGGGTTGCTTTTCTAGACGTAGGCTTGAACAGTTACACAGTGCTCACCAATTGGCATCTCTTTTTGCATCTATCTGAATGATATGCCACAGGTCTCCCCATTTTGCTTTTGAATTAGAGATGTTAGATATTTTACTACTAGTTATCACTATGGATCTCATAATAATTAAAGACAACCTTGTAACATTTTCTAAATCAAAATATATGCAAACCCAATAGTAAGTACTAAGAAAGAAACAAAGGCTTTCTGGTAGAGAATAATGTAGAGCATTATTTAAAGTGGTCATGAAAGGATCTGTTGTAGAGATGACATATAAACTGAGGCCTGAGTGACAAGAAGTAGTCTTGCAAATAACTTGGTAAAAAGACCTTGAAGAAAGATTGTAGAACAAGCACTAAAGCCCTGAGGTAGTGTTCTCTTAGGAAATAAAAGAAGGCCATTGTATTTAGGACACAGTGAATGAGTGGTGCTAAGTAAAACTGTAGAGTTAGGGGCAGAGTCATTCAGGGTTTGTATGTCATGGTAAGGAGTTTCAATTTTATTCTTAATGAATTTGAAAACCATTGAAGTAAGCAGGAAGGTAATACAATTAGGTTTACATTGTTATCTATAAAAAGGTCACTCTGGCTACTCTCTTTTGCATGGAATGGATTTTGGTGGACTAGTGGGAATAGGGGAATAAAATGAGATCAATTTGAAGCCTATCAAGGCAAGCCAGATAAGAGATGAGATGTTAAAATGTGATAGTGGATATGGAGAAAGATGGATTTAGAGATATTTCAGGGGAAGTGGTGCCAGGATATTCTGATAGACTAGATTGCATGTGTCTGTAAGTATGTGAGGATTATGAGGAAAATACAGAAACAAGTTTGAAGAAAATCCGTAATTTAGTGTTAACATGCCCTATTTGAGATGCCCTCTTATGTGAGACATATAAGAGATATTAAAATACTAAAATGTATTATTGTCTTAAATCCACAAGAAATTTCTAGATATATATTTAGGGACTAATCTTCCTATAACTAGTAATTGATGCAGTGGAAATTGTGAACCAAGAAAGAATAGATAGGGAAGAGAAGAAAACCCCATAATTGAACCTTAAGACATTCTAATATGATAGAAGTCTATCAGAGCAGGTGGAGTAAAAAAAAACAGGGCTAAAAGACTAGCTACTGAGATAGAAAATCAGCATGTATGTGGTCACAACTAAGAGAGGAGAGTATTATAAGAAGGAAAGAATTTCAAAATCTGTTGAATGCTTAACAAGAGATTGGGTTAGATAACACCAGAACAATGTTTTGGTGCTTGGAGCAACATAGAAGCTTTCAGCTTCCTAGATAAGGTCATTTCAGAGAATGGTGGAGATGGAAATCATAGAAGCAGGTTAAAGAGTAAATGAATAATATCTACTTAAAAAGTTTCCACAACTTCATTCTGTGACAACCTTTTCTTCATCACATAAATATCAGAAACAAAATGCAAAAGTTGAAATTTAAAAATAAATAGTTGTTTTTAAAAGTAAAATAAATACCTTTATACTCAAGAAATGGAATTGAGACACAAAGTAGAGTCTAAATCCACAGACCTCTGAGATATGGGTTTTTTCAGGATAATGAAAAAATGAAGTCCTACAGATAAGAAATGGGTCCCATTATTAGTCAGTCATACTGTATCTAAGAGCTGATACTGTTGATAGTGACATGACAGAAGCATGACGTGCTGCCAAAATTTCACTTTCAAATTATTAATTTTATTTTATGAAATATTACCTCATTACCAGAAAAGAAGACAGAATGTTCAGGAGAAATTGACAAATACACAATCCATGTAGGATATTTTAACACATTTTTGTCTTAAGACTGATTGAAACAAAATATTAATAAGTATATAGAATATTTGAACAAAATTAGTACACTTAATGACTATTCATATAATCATTTACAAAATAAAAATAAGATATGCATGATTTTTGAGTACACAAGGAATGCTTATAACAATTTATGACATTAGATTACAAAAGAATTCCCAATGATTTTCCAAAATCAATATTAACACAGCCTTCAGTGGAAAAAAAGAAAGACAACAGTAAAAAATAACTATAAAAACATAGTTAATAATTGTATTCCTATCTAACCCATAGGTTAAAGAAGAAAACACTTGAGAATGACAGACTATTGAGAAACTAATGACATTGAAGGTACTAGCTACCAAAACTTGTGGGCTTCAGATAAAGATGCACTTGGAGGTATATTTACAAATTTTAACATATTTAATAAAAGCATAAAAAAATGAAAATTACTGAGTTTTTTTTTTAATTACTGAGTTTTTAATTTGAAGATGTCACTGTCATTTATTTCTTTGAACAACCTGAATATATTTTGAAAGATTCTTTCATCTTGTTCAATTATTTTATAGAATGAATTAATATTCTTTGTGTGGGGGGGAGGCCTTACTTAGTCATCTTCATGTATTTTGAAATTTTGGATTGCAGGTTTTCTTTCACAATTTGTATTTCTCTCTCTTTCTTTTCCCCTTTTCATCCTCCCCTTTTCCCTGTCTCTTCCTCCTTCTCTCCCTCTCCCCCCACCACTCTCCTTTGTCTTTGCCCCTCTTTAGTTAGAAATTTTCAAATTGTCTTCCTGTACTTTTTGAACTCTAGTCTGGAACCACCTCATATATGTTATATCACGTTTGGATGTCTAAAGTGGTAACTTCTACACGAAGAGACAGATTTCACTTATGATTCAAGCCAAAGGCATAGAGCCACTATATGAATTTATTAGGGGGAATCCACATTACAACAGTATAAGCACACAATTCAATTGAAAGTAAGAGGGTGAAGGTTACAAACCTCTTGGCAAGGTTCCAGAGATTGATGACTCACAGATGGTAGGGCCCAGTCTGGGGAGTTCCTGGCAGCCATCCATCTGCAGAGATGGGAAGGCCACTTCTCAGAGCAAAACTCCCCTGCATTTCTTGCCAAAATCTCAAGAAGTCTTCAGAACCATAAGCATCTCAAATTGGCTTAAGTTCATTGCTTATATTTATACCATTTTTTCATAGACATACTTTCAAGATAACTTATTAATTTTAATTTAGGTGGGGCCTCTACACATAACCAGGTTTATCTGTCCTTTCACGTGTTTATCGGTGTCTTCATAAATAAGTGGTTGCTTTTTATTTTTTTAATTTTTATTTATTTATTTATTTATTTGTTTGTTTGTTTGTTTTGTTTATACATGCACTGGGTACAGTCAGAAGCGTGGGAGGGTGAGAGAATTCACCAGAGCCAGAGCGGGGAGCAGAGCAGGCAGAAGGACCGAAGTACACTGCTGAGGGGAGCAGCGGGCGGCAGGAGAGGTCTGCGCGCCATGTGGGACCCTCCTCCGGTGGCCGGGGAGCAGCCGGGGATCGAACCAGTGCCGCAGAGGCTGCGGGCAGCTTCGCAACCCAGTGCTCAACCACTGCGCCACCGGGGAGGCCCATAAGTGGTTGCTTTTTAATTGATACTTTAAGTCACTCTGTTTCAATTGTCCCTACCTCTTGGTGAGGACCATTACAATGTCTGTATATCTATATAGATATATAACATCTTGATCTGTCAGAATGGTTGTCATGTGTGTGTGTGTGTGTGTGTGTGTGTGTGTGTGTATAAAACAATATATAGATTGGTGGTACAGGGCTCCTGCCCTGTAAAGATATTGGAGAACTCACAAAGAATAATCATAAAGTATACTGTGCCTTTCCTATCCCTAAGCACTCAACATTTAATGAACTATAGATGTAGGCATCATTCACCAGGATCATTTGTCAACTTATAGTAACAAGTAGGACAGCTCCAACATGGCCACTAGTTAAAAATAGGTAACCTATTCCATCCTAATTTATGCTAAGATAATAAATACAGTCCACAGGAGTCAAACAACTATACACTCTGCTTTTTAATGCAAAGCCTAGAAATCCTGTACTTCAATCTGACACCAGTTTGCTTTTCTGTTCCATTTATTTTCCACAGAAATATTTATCTAGTCTTTGAGATTAACTTATATTGTTGAATTTTTCTTTTTATTTTCTAACTCTAGTTTCTCTATGTTTAAATAAAGATGGCGTCTTTAAAGTGTGGACTTTCTAGAGCTATTTCCATAGTAACTTATTCCATTTTCACACATATGAAATAGACAATAAACGAGTGATGAGAAAGGAATGAAATTTTCTCTTTGCAAGTGTGGATGCAGATAAAACTCCACTATTTTATCTCCATTAACACATGCAATATGTATTTATTGAACCCTTACTATGCACCAAGTGCTCTATCAAATGTTATAGAAAACAGAGACATGATACGGCCCTAAAAATAATTTGCAGTAGAGCAAGGGCTGATACAGTAATAAATTTATCACACTTTCTACTCTCTTGGTCACAAAGTTTGTTGTTATTATACCAAGGTGGCCCAGGAAAGAAGGGATTTAATACATTTTTATATAACTCACCTGTAAAAAAAAAAAAAAAGTCCCCTTAATAATGGACTCTCTGAAGATTTGATCAGAGGAGAGTAATTTCAATTATTTAAATATTTCATTTTGACAAGTAACATCATCACAGCATATTTTAGTCATAGGAAGGGAGAGATGACAGTTTCCAAATTCATTAAGTGTAAACATTTAGGACACATGTTGGGCACTTGTCTGAAGCTATCAACGATTCTTTTGTTACTTGTAATCAGTAACTGAAACTTTTAAATTATAAAGCCAAAAATAGAATGACTGGCACACACAAACTAAGTAGTATGTGGAACAGAAATGAAAGTTGGTAAATACTTTGTTTTTAAAAATATTTTTGAGTTTAAAATGAAATTTTCTTCTCATGTTGAAAAACACAAATACCAATGACTGTACAGTATTTCAGGGCAAAAAATAAGATTGCCATTTTTTTGCTTCCAATAGTTAATAGGCCAATAAGTTATTACCACTATTTTTTCTTCAACAGGGGTTTCTCTGATTCCCAAAACACTCATTTTGACTGTCTCATTCTATCACTTTACTATCTGTCTGACTGACCTTGTGAAAGTTACTATATCTATTTAGTTTTATTTTTCATTATCTATGAAAGCTGAATAAGATAACATTTTTCATATAGTTACTATGGAGATGAAATGTAAAGTACTTAGCACAGTGCCTAGACATGCTAAGAACTCAGCAAAGATTATTAGTCATTCAATACTAAATAGCTACATCTGTCTATCTACCTGCCCACCTATCATCTATCTATCTATCTAACTATCTGTCTATCTATCTATCATTTTATGTGCATATATGTATACATACATAACAGCATTATAACAATAACTTTCAACAAGATTAAATGCTGTAAAATACATTATTTCTTTTTTAATTTTACAGCCGTTCTGTAAAGGCAGGCTTTAAATCCTTGTAACTAAAGATAAGAATTTGGAAATCAGGTTGCCCTTTGATAAATGTATTAAGAAAACAATATGGACCTACAAGTAAAAATGAAAAGTCATCTTACAGAAACTTTGGCTCCTAAGACAGAGCAAGACTTAATGAAAAGTATTAACACTAAACATTTGTCTTTTTCGGCCAGAGCACATTAGAACACCTTAGTTCAATGCCACCAAATATTCAAATCATCCAACTATCTACATATTTTGAAGCAAGCTTCCAATTATATTTTCACTCCCTTAATACTGTGTCTCTAGAAAGACAGATCACTAAATATGCTCAGGCTCATGTAAACATCTCATTCCATTAACAATTGTACATATATTGGGCCTCCCTTAGTGGTGCAGCGGTTGAGCGCTGGGCTGCGAAGCTTCCTGCAGCATCTGCAGCGCCGGTTCAATCCCCGGCCGCCGGGTGAGGGTCCCACATGGTGCGCAGACCTCTCTTGCCGTGCCCGCTGCTCCCCTCAGCAGTGTGTTTTGTCGGTCTGTCTGTTCTGTTCCCCGCTCTGGCTCTGGTGAATTTTCTCACCCTCCTGAACTTCTGACTGTACCCAGTGCTGTATAAATAAATAAATAAATCTTTAAAAAAAAAATTGTACATACAAAATAATGACACTAGTTTCGTAAGTTACCACCAATCTCTTGAGAATGTCATAATATCAGTATGTTAAAATCTTGGGCAATGAACAGATTGAAATTATTATTTCTCTGAGATTTCCTCCTGATACTTCATATAACTTTTCATGTGCATTTTCCTTCCAATCCCTGTGGTAGTCATGTGATAAAATTGTGACCCAAAAAGCTTTTGATTTTTCAAGAACACACAGATATTAATTGTTGAGCTCAAATTAGAACCCAGGTGACTCTCAATTCTGGGCTATTTGAAGGATGAATTCAAAAGAAATAATGAAAAATATTTTATCCAGTTTTCCATGTCTAGTTTACGTATAAGTATGGAATTTTGATGTCCAATTTTAGCTACTATTCTGAAAAATCCTCTATTCCTCCAACCTCAGATACACTTTGCAGTTGATAAAGTTGACTTAAATTAATGAAATAAGTGGCCCAAGTACACACAGAATAATAGATTAGGAACTAGAGTCCAGGTCACCTGACCCTCACATTATAAACTCACTTCTTTTTACAGTGATGCATCATTTCTGAGTTTTAGGATAATACTAATTATAATAACTACACTTTGAAATTATAATAACTATACTTTGGCTTATTTTTTAAAGTAATTTGACTGAATACTATTCTGGTACAGGAAATCTTTCAGTTCTGAATGTGATCATTGAAAGTGCGTAAATAAAACACTGCTTGTAGAGGGTCTCTGGAAGGCTTACAGCAAAGAATTAAAGGACTTAAGCAGAACAAGAAGAGGAAGGAGAACAGGGGGGAAAAGTTAAACAGTGTGAAGCATGCAAAGGTTTGTAATAAAAATTGTAATTTGAATGGCCTACATGCATTAGTATTAAATGTTGTATTCTGCCCATGTATTATCTCCCATGCGCATGAATAAGCAAGTGATGTTTTTACATTTTAATAATTGCAGTGTTCCTATTATTATATAAACTATTCATAAAAAGGATTGCAGGGATTGTATACATCAGAGATAAATGATGAGACTTCAGTCTGGAATTATAGAGTAAGATCAGAATCTAATTAAAATCTGCACAAGATAAAGACTGCTATATGTGTATGTTTAATGCAGATATATACAAAATGCAAAGTAAAAACTCCCTCATCCCTCCACCTCTATTCATACATTCTCATGCC